CCACCAGGCTAACCCATCCTCCCACCCCCCTCCCCTCTAGAACCCTCAGTTTGTTTTTCAGAGTCCATCGTCTCTCATGCCCACCCACCCTGTCTTAATGTCCCTGCTTTTCCTCACAGCATCCCCCCGCAGGCCTACACATCCTTCCAGGCCTATGTCAAATCTTATCTTTTCTGAACATCACCTTCACTGAGCATTTCTCTCCAACAGAAATGTCTCTCCACAGAGTGCTTATTATGTGGGCTCCTATCACGGACCCCCTTGTGCTGTTAAATAGCTTCACGCATCTTGCAGGTGACCAGAAAAATGGCCCCATCTGGATTGCAAGCTCTTGAGGGCAGGACAAGTCTTACAAGTATCTCTGCATTCCCAACCGCCCCATCATTGTGCCTCTGACTTCCTGGATGCTTGGGAAAGCCCTACTGGTCTCGTCCCTTAGCACTGCTAGCTCTGACAAGGGTGGGCCTCAGAAGCCCTGGGTTGGGGCCAGCCTCCTGGGATGCCCAGGAGTCCAAGCCCCAGGACCGTCCCCTCACCTTTCATCCTGTCCATCATCTCCATGGTCTCCCCAAACAGTTCCTCTGCCTCCGTCTTGACACTCAGGATCCGGCTGCCCTGAGCCCCCAGCATGGGGCTCCGACCCAACTGGTCCTTCAACTCAGCATATTTTTGCTTTATTCTCTCAAATCCCTGAAAAAGGTGAAACAGTCTGAGTGCCACCAGCATCATCATCATCCAAAGTCCTAAAGACCTTTGGCTAAAGCACTCAATATCCTCCAAATCCACACACAGGGATGAGGAGCCTCCTGATACTCCCCAGTGGGTTGCTCTGGCCTATGAAAACCCCTAGGCCCCAAGCTGTATCTGACACTTCTTCTGTATTTCTCTCCCTCCATCTGTGGCTCCTGTCCTTTCCCACCTAACTCCCCACACAGTGCCAGGCACCTGGCAGCCTGGCCACTGTGCTGGGACCGGCCACGAATGCCAAAGTTCCTGGTACACTGGGGACCCAGAGGATGGCTCTCTGATCGCCTCTCTGACATAATTCTGACAACGATGGGGCCCCAGGTTAGGCTTAGTCAAGACTGCCTCTCTGGGCTGGGTAGCCATGACGGGGGACAAGTTCTGGATTGGATGTCAAGGGACCTGCTTTGTAGGTGAGCTCTGGGCCTGGACAAAGTTACCCCCCCATCTGTAAACAGAAAGGGACTGGACTAGATCATTTGTAACACCCCTGAACCAGCTCCCCAGAGGCGGCCCGAGGTAAAGTCCAGATGCCAGGCCAGGTCAGGGTGAGTCCTGAAGCCCTTTCTGATGATTCTAGAATAACATGTTCCAATTGCTTTTGAGCCCAAGGTCTCATAAAGTGTACAGAGTCCTCTCCTGCTCAGGACCCTCAGGCTGGCTGGTGCTGCCCAGGACGACCTCCACCTGCTCTCACCTCCTGGGCGCTCAGCGCCCGCTGCTTAGCACCCTCTGTGAGCTGCTGGGCCCTCGCCACTTGCTCCTGTTGCAGCCTGGCCCTGCGGCTGAGCTCCTCCATCCGCGCCCGCAAGTCACCCAGCTGCAAGCCCATGCCAGCCGCCAGTCCTTCCGCCGGCCCCAGGACCTGCTGAACCTTGGTGGGGAAAGAGACCTGGGTTATGGTGGTGGGTCTCCTAAGCAGGGACCTCGTCGTCCTTCTGCCCAGGTCACCAGGCATCGAAAACTCTCTCCAAGCAGGACACCACTATTGTCCCCCTGCTGGTCCCCTATCTATCTGTCCCCTGGCATCCAGGCCCCCCCTCTCTCCAGCTCAGTTGATCTGCCCCCCAAGCCCCCCACCCCCTTGCTGCAGCTCAGAGCCCACCCCTGGCCTTCTGCACCCAGCCACGCAACCAGAAAACCAAGGGCTCAAAGCTGGGCCCAGAGCTCGTAGTCCTCCCTCTCTAGGTCCCCTTCCAGGTCACTTTCTGGCATTTTCTATATCTTGTGCCTGAATCTGTCCGTTCATTCCCAAATGCAGCAGAAGGAAGCCACACCACCTCACCTCAGCAACCCTCTCCTGGATAAGCCGAAGGGAACGGCTGGTGCCTTGCATGGTGTCCTGGGCTTCCTGCAGAGCCACCGTGCCCTGCCGAAGGTTCCCCACCACGTCCTCCACCTGGCCCTCCACCGCGTGGGCTCGGCTCCTGCAGCAGGGGGAGGGGAAGGGAGATAAGAAAGAATGAGCAACCAGTGAATGAAGAGATGCACGGCTCCACTCACCAACCGGTTCAAGAGAATATTCTTCCCAGCCAAGACCTAAAAAGGGAGTATTAACACATAGCTTTTCCATCCCGGGACCCCACCGAACAGACACGAGGAGTGTGAGCGTTACGTCTGAGACACCCTTTGGTGTCACCAATATGGAAGACAGGGTCATGCTGAGGAAAGTTCACCCTGGACACTGTTTCTCACTTCACCACCCCCCACTACAGTAAGCACCCCTCCTGTCCCGCAGCCCTCTGCACCCCTCTGACATGTACAGATTCTTTTCCTTCTGCCAGCAGCCAAAGGAGTCAGGAAGCAAAACACCAGCCCAGCCCTGGGCAGGGAGAAGCGCGGGCTAAGGGCCCCAGGCCATACCTGGCCTTCTCAGCCTCCATCTGGAGCCTCTGAGCCCGAGCAATGTCCTGCTTGGTCTGAGACAGCACCAGGTCCACACTGGGTAGCCTGGCGGCAATGGCCTGGATCTCATTCATCTTCCGCAGCACCGTGGCCGAGTCTGTGGGCAGCCACAGGGCCAGCACGGCCTCGCTGACCTCCTGGATGGTGGCCGCATCAGTGTCAGAGTCTGGAAGACAGCCGTCCATCAGACCACCTCCCCAAAGATCAGAGGTTTCTCCGAGCTGAGCAGCTCCAGGGAAGCACCTGCGTGCGTCTCTGCCCGCCCCCCACCCCCCCCCCCCCCCGCTGCCCGAGAAGCCACTGCACCCTGGCGGGGACACTCAGGTGCCCGTTCGCACAACTTCCGGGAATGCTGCGGGAGGACGATTGTGGGCACAGCTGTGGCAGCTAAGTGCCTGGGGCCACAGGAAACTGCAAGCTGGAGAGAAGGAGGCGGTGCCAGACAGCTGGGACTGAACAATGCCTGCAGCACAAACATAATCAGCCCTCAGCCGGGGAGAGCGGCCAGGAACTGGAACTGCTTCCTTGGCAAGAAGACCCCTTCCACGCGCCCCTCCCCAGGCCAGCGTGCTCGTTTCCGCAAAGGCAGAGAGAGATCATCAGGTCTTTGCTCCAGTGTCACCTTTCCAGAGAGGCCAACCGTGGCCACGCAATCTAGAATCGCACCTTTCCCCCTGAGCCAACACCCCTTACTCTCCTTCTCCCTATCATTTATCACCTCCCATGTGCCGAACCCGTGACTCATGGATCTGTCTGTTTTCTGTCTGTTACCCAGCCAGAAGCCCTATGATGGCAGGGACTGGGTGTCATCCATACCCCCAGCCCCAGCCACAGTGCCTGGCCCTCCAAGGCACTTGGTGTTTGTACAGTGAACGAACGATTCAAAGATCTCCAGACCCAGGCCTCCCCTCTACTCTTCAAGCAAACTGGGACAAGTCAAATGGCTTCTCTAAGCTCGCTTTCCAGACCTGTGAAATGGATAATGATCCTCAACCTGAAGGGATGAAACGAAACAACCAGTCAGCAAGGATTTTACAAGCCAACTCCGGTCAGAGAGTAAGGTCAGAAGCACAGAGGTGGCATCTCCTCCCTATCTCTCCCTTTCACTTTTACAGATCCCAGGGACCGGCATGGGAGGGGAGGGGGCACCCGCCCACCCAGATGGCTTGCCCCAGGACTTGGGGCCAGCACGTGGGGAACTGAGACTGCAAATCAAAGCGGACCCAGTCCCTGTCCTCACGGAGCTCGAAACCTGGTGGGACAGACAGGCACATAACCAAGGAAGGCCAGCCTGAGTGCGGAGGGTGAGCACAGGGTGCTCAGATGGCCACGGGAGGGGCGCCCTAACCCAGTCTGATGGGGCGGAAGGAGGGGGCAGGGGGAGGGTTCCTGGAGAGTGGGCCATCGAGAGGATTCTTAGAGGGGGAGCAGGACTTAGCCAGGTCTGGAGAGGTGGGGCAGGGGAGCAATCCAGAGAGACGAAAAGCATTAGCAAAAACCGTGTGTGTGTGTCCATCTAATAGTACAATCATCTAGACTGTGGACGACAGAATGAGAATAATCCTACCCGTATTCCCTCCAAGCTGGATCCCCTTAGGCAGGTTACTTAACCTCCCTGTGCCCGAAGCCCTCCTCTGCAAAGCGGTGGGCAATCAGGACTAAGTCACGAAATACCTGTGACGCGCTTAACGGTGCCAGGCACTTGGTGAGAACTCAGCAAGCCTGAGCTGTGATTTCTGTGAACTCCGTGTGAAGACCTGGGAAAGTCCGTGTGTCCTCCTTGCCCCACGGGCCTCCCACGCACCCCACCCCCAGGACCCTGCACACAGCAGCAGCTAGTTAGTGCTGTGCCCCCTGCACAGTACTCTGGAGACCAAAACCCACTGCCACGGAGACTGCCAGAACTGTCGTGGGCTCTTTGCAGGGGTCAGGCCTCTCTCAGACTCTGCTCCTTCTCCCGGCCCTTGGTCCCATCAGAGGACTTGACCGGAGACACACATATAATTTAGAGGACAAAAAGGACCCTCCGGCCCAGCGACTCCCTGCCTGTTCACGTGAGCCCAGGCTGTACCCCAGAGACTTCCTAACCTCCCTCCCACCGCCTGGTCAAGGCTGATGCCATTCAGCCTCACAGGCTCTGCTTGGGGGAGGATTTCCTTATCCACGAGTCCAAGCCGCAAACTTTGGCCTGCCCCTTCGTCCTTGTTTCTGGAGCACCATCTCCCTGCATCCACTCTCCCCCACTCTGGGGCTCTCCGGAGGCTGACTCCAGCCTGGCCTCAGGCAAGCCACGGCTGCCAGCAGATCCTCCCCGCCTCTCTCCAACCTGCCCTCCACACTCAGGACGGGGCTGGGACCTGTGGGGAGCAAAGGCCCCGCAGGAGTAGCAAGAAGAGCCCTGTGGTCACACCAAGCCCTTACTTTACATCAGTTACTAGGTCCCCGGAAGGAACGTGAAATACTACCATCCCGGTTTGCAGAAGTGAAACATGAGGCAAAGAGAAAAGCAACCTGCCCGAAGTCACAGGTTTCCCGAGTCCTGTCCAGGGATCTTTCTACTCCCAGGGCGGCAAGAGAGGGCTGTGGCAGCCACCCAGGTGAGCGGTGGGCACCTGGCCCCGGTGGCCCGGAGGCGAGGGGAGGAGGGAGCTAGCTCCATGGAGGGAATGGAGGGTCGAGCGCCAGGCAGGAGTCCAAATATCAGGCCAAAGGAGAGTAAGGGCCAGGCTCACCTGACAGGAAGTCCCGGACCTGCTGGATGAGGAGCCGCATGCGCCTGACATCCTCCTCCATCTGGGAGCGGCCGGCGCTCACCTGGGTCTCCAGGCGCTGAGCGTCTGACTGCACCTTCGAGGCGGCTTCCTCAGCGGCCTTGATCTGCCAGCACACAGTATAGGTCAGCAGTGGTCAAGGCCCCAAGAGAGCCTCTCAGCAGCCCTCAGGGATTCAGTGGACACCCGCTACCCACGATCTACCTGGGAAACATCGGTAGCTAACCTGGTTTGGCTCTGGAAGAAATGATGTGGAGTCAGGTGAAAAAGCCCAAAACACTGGCCCCACACTCGACCTCTCACTGGCTGTGGCGCCTCAGACAAGTCACTTAACCTTTCTGGGCTTTTGTCTCCTGACTTGTGAAACAGACACTGACTTGCCCTGGGGGGTCTATCCCCTTAGCCTTTCCCTACGTGCGCCCACCCCCCTTGGCTGCACCTACCATCTGCCGGGTCTGCTGGAGCTGGGCATTGAAGCCCTGCAGCTGCTGGGCCACCTGCCCCGCCATCCGGAAGGCCCCATCCGCCCTGGGGAGGGCACCTCTGCAGTGAGGGCCACATGCCGTGCCATTGTCTCTGGGACACAGCTCTCCAGGGCACGCTCCTGGGGTACAGGCCGTCTGCCTGGAGCCCCCGCAGAGCTGTGGAGAGGAGGAGACGTCAAAGAGGGTACCCAAGGCTCTTCAACAACCACTCCCACCCCACACCCAGGGAACAAACAGCCAGACATCTCCATGGCAGCCAGGCACCAGAAACTTGTTTCCCTGGCAACCACTGAGCACAGCGTGAGGGGCCAAAGACCAGGATGGGGGGGAGGGGGGGAGCGGGGCGGGTTCACACTGCCCTAGGAGGAAACACGGCAGCAGCCGGTGGGTGACAAGCTGGAGCAGGGGGATCCAGGAAGCGGGGTTCCATGCCACGAGTCACCTTGTTGATGGTGGGTGTCAGATCAGGCAAGGAAGCCATGTCCAGCCTCAGGGCCACAAGCTGGGGCCCACTAACACCGGCTCCTCCTCCCAGCTGGCCCTCCAGCCTCTCCGCCTCTCGCCGGCTGTCCCTGAGCTGCAAGAGCATGCGGGAGCCGTCGGAGACCCGCTGAGCAGCCTGGGAGGACCGCTGGAAGGCTGCGGTCAGCACCCGGAAGGCCCCTGCGGGGAGACAGAAGGGCAGTGAGCCGCCCCGGCCCGGGAGGCCTGGAGATGGAGGAGCAGCAGGTGCGGAGCCAAGGTGCGGCGTGGCCTTGCGTGCAGCTGTCTGAGCAGCCCTCCTCACCTGAAGGATTGGCACCGCTTATCCTTTCAAACTGCTCCTTCTTGCTCTGATACATAACGAGGAGGTGACTGAAGCTTCGGTCCAGATTCTTGAGGTCTTCCGAGAGGGACAAGGTCTCCTCCTCTGGGGGCAGATCAGGCTGCAGGCTCTGGAGAGTCTGCCTGAGATGCGAGAAGAGCTTTCACTAAAATACGGGAGAGGGGCTGCCTCCCCAGAACCTGCCAGCCCCTCGGAGAAGCCTCTGTGAGGCAGGAAAGAGAGAGGTCTTCAGCGAAGGCCGCAGAATGCAGACTCCACAGGCCGCGGAGGATTCTGCTGGACAAAGGCTGAGTGAACCAGCGCAAGCTCCCTCCATCCCTCGGCAGGCAGATCGCAAAAACGGCTCCTTCCTCCACTTGTGTGCCTCTGCAGGCCTGAGCCGCTGCACCTCCCCAGAGCGGGCTTCCATGAGGCACGTCACCCTGACCCCTTCCTCCTTGGCTCGCTGCAGGCTGACACCAGCTTTCCCACCTGTACCACCTGCTCGCCAGACTCCAAAGTCTCTCCTCTGCAGCCCACACCTCCCCACGAGGACCCACAGCTACAGCCCGCTGGTCGTCTCCACCCAAAGGGGGTCAGGATCCACCAGCCCTGGCCCACAACCATTCAGCTTTCCTCTCTCCCCACCCCCTTTGCTGGTCTACCAACCACCAACTCCCTCCCACAAGCTCTGCATTCTTCACCTACAGGCTTTGCTCTGGCATGGGACGTCCTTCCATGGAGCACCCTTCCATGCCTGCTTTTTCAGCCTACCAAATACCTATGGACTTGCTACTCAATTCTGAGACTTAGGTCAATCATATACCTGGATGGCTCTGGGCACCGAAAGTCAGCTAGTGCTTGGGGAATGCAAACTAATTATAGAAACTTCCAGAACCAAACCTTCCTAAGAAGGTGCCTCTGCTGGTAGGAAGGAGGTGTGGGTGGGACCGCTCCCATTCCAAAGGCAAATACAAGTTATTTTTAGAGCCCCTGCCTCTCGGATGCCCTGCACCAGGGTGACTAATCCAGAGCTGACTCTCTCCCACGGGCAGCGCCGGGCACTTGAAAGAACACTGGGGCTCCTGCCTGTGCTGAGTCCCAGTTCTGCTCCTCAGTGGCCGCGTGACTCTGTCACATCACCCATCTATGCCTGTTTCCCCACCTGCAAGACGGAAGTAATAACACCCACACACCAACCTCACAAGACTGTTGTGATAGTTCAAAGAGAGAGCGCATGTGAAAATGCTCTGTAAACTGTAAAGGGCTGTACCAGCGGAAGGACCCGCGTGTGCCACTTACGTGAACCCACGTGAGGGAACGCTTCTTGGCACCCGGCAGGGAAGGGGAAGTTTACCTGGTGGAGAAAATGGCATTGGCCACCCGGGACACCTGCTGCTCGGTGACCGGGGAACGGGAAAGGATTGCTTGGATCTGCTCCATCTTGCTCTTGGCATCCGCGATCCGGGAGGTGAGGCCAGGGTCCTCCAGGCCCAGCCCGGGCCACAGGCCGACGGCGGTAGCATTGCGGAGGCTGCTGAGGCGCAGGGCCTGCCCCCGGAGGTCAGCATCGTAGATCTGGAAGCAAGGGTGGCAGGCCACGCACACCGGGTAGCGGTCACAGTAATCTCGTTGGCACTGGTCGCAGCGGGGTCCGGTCAAGCCCGGGCGGCAGAGGCAGCGGCCCGAGGCCTTGTCGCAGCCTGGGCCCTCCGTCCCCCGGAAGTCACAGTCACAAGCTAAGGCGGGTAAGGACGACGGTCAGGGTTGGGGGGCATGTGGTGGGGGGAGCCTGAGGCAGGTCTGACCTCAGGGCCCGTCTACAGGACTTGGAACAGTAGACAGTCAAGGCCAGAGTAAAATCCCGGAACGGCAGCAACGAAGGCAAGCCCTTAGTTGGCACCTACTATGCCGGGGGCCGGGCACTGCCCTGGGTTAGACACCCGCCCGCTCACAGTCCCTCTGTGACAGAGTTAACCACGCTCATCTTCCCACGCGTGCAGACAAGCACCAGGCACAGAGATATTATCAAGTGCAACGTGCCCTCAGGAAACCGAGGCCTTGGGGGGCAGCTACTGGCCCCAGCCACTCGGTAAGACGGACGCCACGCTGAGCCCGGACCCGGGTCTGCACGCTCCAGGTCCCAGGCTCTGCGGCTACTTGTCAAACGGGCTCTGGGGAAACCACACCTTCCCCCTCAGGACTCACTTGCTCCGTCTAGGAAGAAACTCCTCCCCTCCCTGCCGCTGCCTGGAGATGGCTTCTGGGAAATGCTGTCTCGGGGAAACGGGGAGCGAAGCACCCTCCGGTCATGGGGACCGGGGGGACTGGCTGGAGCAGGTGCGGGGAACTCGCGCTCCACGGGGCTGCCGGGGCCCACCCCCCACGTCCCAGGACGGGACGTCCTCCCACACCGCAGGCCCTCCTGCACGCGCTCGCCCCCGGTGCCTCGGCGTCCCCCCCCTCGGCAAAGCACCCACCGCGGCACGTCGTGCCTGCACCTCCGTACGTCCGGTCGGGACACTGGCGTATGGCTGCGGCGCTGCACGTCAGGCCACCAAACCCTTCTCGGCAGGGGCACTGCCCGGTGAACTGTCGGGGAGAGCACTGTGAGGGAGCTCCCCCGCAGGCCCGGCCCCGCCCTGGTGTCGGGGCCTGGGTCTGCCTGCACAGCGGGTGTGCCCCCAAAACAAGGGCTCCCATTCAGAGACGGGCTCGGAGGTCAAAGCCCCGAATGGCCCCGCAGAAGGCTCAGAGCCACCCCGGGAGGGATATTTGGTGGCGTCCCCAAGGAGAACGGGGACAGAAGGAGCCCAGTCTGTGGGCAGCGTGGAGGGAGACAGAGGGTGGTGAGCCGGCGGACTTTCCGCGGAGGGACCCAGGGGGCCACGCCCTCTTGTACCTGGTTGCACTGGGGGCCGAGGGAACTCTGAGGGTCACAGGCACAGGGCTCACAGCCCCGACCACTGGCCAGCTTCCAGTGGTAGGGAGCGCACTGGTCACATTTGGGGCCCACCACGTGGGGCAGACACAGGCACTGCCCACTCTCCTCATCGCACGGCATGTCCCGACGAGACCCCAGGATGCTGCAGTCACAGCCTGCGGGAGGGAGGGTTACTCAGCTAGCAAGACAACCAAAGCACACCCCTGGAGGACACACAGCAGGGAGAGGGCCAGCCTGGGAAAAGAACCAGGCAGGGTCGTTCTTTCCAGATAACCTGGCTGACTCACGAGGCGGCGCTGTCCTGCCTGGCACCTGGCAGCTTGGCCGCCCACCCTCCCTCCCTCCGGCGGACTCAGTGCCACCTTCCAACCCGGGCCTGTGCTGCCACCTGCTGGACACCCAGGGCACGGCATCCAGCACACAGCCCCGTGAGGTAAGTCAGGAGCCTGGGGGCCCACACCGTCTTCCCCAGGCTGGGGCCCCCGACTCACGGTGGCAGCCCTGCGGGTTGGCATAGGTGAGTCCCGTAAATCCTGGCTTGCACAGGTCACAGCGCTCCCCCTGCACATGCTCCTTGCACACGCACTGTCCAGTCACTGGGTCGCAGGGAACCCCTGGCACTGCCCCATCGGGATCACACTCGCAGGCTGAGAGACAAAAGCAGCCACCACAGTGAATACAAAGAGGAAAAGTGGAAAGTGAAGAGCAGATTGTAGAAGCCAGACTGCCTGGTTCAGATCTTTATTCCGCCACTTACTGGCTCCCAACCTTACAACCTTGGTCATGTTACTTAACCCCTCTGTGCCTCAGTTCCCTCATCTGCAAAATGGGTATAATGATACAACTCTCATAGATTCCCTCTGAGGAATAAATGAGTAAATGAAAAGTAGGTAGAACAGCGTTTGGCCCATGTTAAGTACTTTAGAGGTTTTTGTGGTCGTTATTTCCTGAACAACTGCTATACACCAAGCCCTGAGCTGGGCACGCTTGCCTGTTGCCTGATGTAATCCTCATGACAACACCGAAAGGTGGGAACACACTCAAGGTCACACAGCAAGTAACCACGGGAAACAGAAGTCAACTTGTCCTTCTCACTCTTTCCATACCCAAATAATAGCGACAGGAAGTGAACCAGCTTTCTCCCACCCCCACCCCCAGACCTCTTGCAGGACTTTCAAAATGCAGATTCTTCCTCCATCTAAAGAGTCCTTCGTGATTAACCCCTCCTGATGCAGACTGCTTCGGTCCACTCTGCTCTCTCCTGTGCGGAACACACTGGCCTTGTGGACATGCTAAGTCATTCCTGGCTGTTCCATGCATATGTTCCTTCAGGAAACATTTCTTCAGCATCAGCTATGTGCCTGTCACGGCGCTAGGGCCTGAGGATATAGGACAAAAGCCCTGCCATGGAGGAGTTCTCAATATTGGTGGGGAAAGAAAAATACAGAGCAAACCACGTTACCACATGGTAAAGACAATGACCTATACATGGACGGAGTGCTCAGTCCGCCTTTTTCAAGTATGATTTACATTGCCAAACAGGGTGTGTGTTTCTTGACAGCAGGAACTGTCTCTTATGTTTACTTTTGTCTCTCCTATGTCCAAAATAAGGGCTACATAATTATCGATTGATTGACTGATGGTCCAGAGAGGCTAAGTGATTTGCTTAACAGTGCACAGCTAAGTTAAAACAACTGCCCACAAGTCCTGACAAACAACCAAGGCTTTGTGCTTCCTGAGGGCTTGTGTGTCCCCAGGGACACAGATGCTCCAGTGAGTGGTGGGCAGATGACACCCTGGGTCCCTGGAGCCCCTACTCACGGATACAGGTCTCCTGAATGGGAGCGCCGGGACGCTGGTTGCGGAAAAAGTGCAGCTGACACTGCTCACAGTTCCTGCCCTCCGTGTGGTCCCGGCAGTTGTCACACACGCCTCCGTGTGCCCCCTGGCTCGCGGCGAACACAGCTGGGTCGAAGTGACAGGTCTCTGAGTGCCCATTGCAGTCACACCCTGAAAAAGGAGATTCCCAGGGCTGACCGTAGACCAGCCCCACTTCCATCCACAAAGCACGTCTCATGCTAATGCACTGGCATCTCTTGCAACTTTGCAAGATGCTCAGGTCTAGGAAATGGGGAAACTGAGGCCCAGGGAGCCTTGTGTAACTCACTTAAGGTTATACGGCCAGTAAGAAAGCAGACTAGAGTAAGAACTCGGGCCTCTTAACTCCCAATGTGGGGACTAACCCAAGAATAACATCTGTGTGGGGCCAAAACGGGAGCCCTTGGAATGGTCCACCCCAACCCTCCCCCGTAGCCACCACGGATCTCCTGCTGGGTCACTGCCTCTCTCTGGGCTGGGGACCCTTGTTTCTCCCACTTGTGCAGAGAAAGACCCTGACTCCAGGGGGCCTTCTGAAGTAGGGAACCAGATATGTCCTACACAGGACAAGGCAAGCGGAGGGGACAGAAGAAAGAGGACCTGGGGATACCACGAAGGCCATGTGGCATCAGTAGCATGGACCAGCCTTGGTCGCTTCGGGCCTGAGAAGAAGGTCTGGGGAGGCAGAGGGTGGCTGCAACCCAGACTATCTCCATCCCCACAAAGTAAGGAGAGCTTACATTACCGGGGTGCAATCAAGATTAGATTTAAATAATAAAGAATAAATTCTCCCGGTGTCCAGGTGAGATCATTGAGGCCCAGAGAGGCCAGCACCCCATCCAGCCACTACAGGGGAGCGGGTGAGTCCAGGACCCTACGCTGGCATTCGTGGGGGTCCTGGTCATCTGCGGGTCTCCAGGGCTGATCGTTGTAGAAGGGTGCACAGCGTTCACAGTTGGGCCCAGCAGTGTTGTGCTGACAGACGCAGACATCATGGACCTGGGAAGGGGCCACCAGTTATCAGGAATAATTACCAAAGAAATGTCCCAGCCATGGACCTGCCCTCTCCCCTCCCCTCCTCGCCAAACTGCTCAGGGTCCAACTCAGACCCCATCTCCTCCAGCCTTCACTCAGCTCCAGTGACACTCCCAGCTGCCTGCTTGTGTGCTATTGTGGGTGTGGGGGTGTGGGTGTGTGCGCACGTGAACACGCGCACATGCACGTGCCTGCCCTTCTGCTCTAACTAGGCGGCTTTTTAAAGCTCATTCCTGGGGCACCTGGGTGGCGCAGTCAGTTGAGCATCTGACTCTTGGTTTCAGTTCAGGTCCTGATCTCAGGGTCTTGGGATGGAGCCCCACATCGGGCTCCACGCTCCATGCAGAGTCTGCTCGCGACTCTCTCTCCCTCGCCCTCTGCCCCTCCCCCCATGCGCGCGTGCACTCTGTCTCAAATAAATACATGTTAAAAAAATAAATAAATAAAAGCTCATTCTTTGCCCTTGGACATCCCCCTGATGCCCAGTCCAAAGCAGCACCTGGAAGGTGCCCAGACACCCTTATTGGCAAACTACGATTCCGGAACTTTGTGGGCCCTCTGGAGATTTATATTCCAATAATCTTTGACTGCAGCTGTTTGGCTAATGGGACCGCTATGAGCTACTGTTACTAGACTCATTAAGACATAAAAACAGAATAGCTATTGTGTGCTCACTGTCTTCTGCATTAAGCCCAACACCCTCAGCCTGGCATCAAAGACCTGGACAGCGTTTGCCCCATCTTCATTTCCCCCTCGGAACAGCACAGCCAGGCTGCACCTCAAGCTGTGTCCTGCACAAGCCCTGTTTTTCCCCACCTCTTGGCCTTTACTGATGTTTTTCTACCTGCCTGGAATTCCCTTCTTCCTCCCCTCACCAGTAAGATCCTGCCAGTTAGAATGGCATCTTCTTCACCGGGCCTCCCTGGTTCCTCTAGTTCCATGGCTCTCAATCCTGGATGCAACTCTGGAGTCACGTGGGAAGCTTTTTTAAAAATACCATTGCCAGGCCCAATTCGATCCAAATCTCAGAGACAAAGCCCAGACTTTGGTACTTTTTAAAGTGGTGATTGGAGGGGGGCGGGGGGGGGTGCGGCCAGATTCAAGAGCCCCTGGGGCTGGGCGTGCCCTTTCCCTCTCTACAGCCCCCAGTACATTGTATTCCTCAACCGTCAGCGGTCCTGTTGGGCCTGTGTTCTGTTCGTTCATCTCCAGGCCCTAATAGATGACATGTTCCTGGAGCCGGTCTCCCTCTGGCCTCCTGTGCAGCCCCGGGCAGGGCCTGGCCCAGCCATGGGAAGGACGAAGCTGCCCAGGGCTCATTTCACCTGTGTTTCCCTCACAGGCCATTTTAGCCCTGTGCCCCCCTACCGCCAGGGTAAATGAGCTCCCTATGTTAACAGAAGAACCAAAGCCCTAGAAAAGCAAAATGACGGCTTCTTCTGCCTCCGGGCCCAGAGTTCTCTCTCCTCTACTGATGGTTCTCACATCTGGAGATGTGAAAAGCTGGAGCTTCCCCCCACCATTCCCTGATGCATCTGACTCAGCTGCTCCGGGGTAGACTTAGCAGGATGTGAGACTCTGTTCTCTCACCCTCCCCCGATCTCGCCACTAGATGGGACTCTAGAGTGCCCAAACCAGTGCCTCTCCACCCTGGCAGTGCTGAGAATCCCCTGGAAGCTTTAAAAACCAATAATAAAACTGGAATATCTGAGGACGGAGGTCTGGGCACTTTTTTTTTTTCTTTTAGCTCCCCAGGAAATTATTACATGTAGCCAGGATTGAGCAGCATCGCCTTAAGCTCCCCACAGCACCCACAGATGTGCTTACAGGTGACTGAAAATCAAGCCGTCATAAACCAGAAGGCAGGCTTAAGGAAGTGCTACAGAATTCTGATCTTTGAAGGAATCATCACTTAGACTCTTTTCCACCGTCGCTAAAATGTTAAAGACCCACGTCTGAAATTGAGTGCCCTCCCTTGTTTTATAGGAGCCCCAAGAATGTCCTAAGTCTGCTTTGGTCTTGCTCTCTCCCCTCAGCCCCTCCCACCCGGGGCTGTCACCTGCACCGCGGTGGAGGGGCCGGCGGAGGCTCCGGGCTGAGGGGCGCAGCGGTCGGCGTGGCCGTGGCAGAAGCAGCTGCCTGGCAGACGCAGCTGGGACACTGCGTAGTAGGCACTGGGGGGGTAGTAGCCTCTCTGGGGCACAGGGGCCAGCCTGGTGAAGTTGACTCTCAAGTTTGTGATCTCCCCCAGCTCTGAGAGGGGGGCAAACAACAAAGGGGGAGGGGGTTGGGGAAGGGAAAGTAAAAAAAGGAAGTTAAATGCAAATCGAGTCTCCTAGGGCAGGATGAATAAGCAAAGGAATTCTGATCTCACCACCCCATCTTCCCTGCCTTCATAAGGTTGGTTATATCAGGAGCCATCCTCCTCAGCGTTCAACCCTCCCAAGGCAGGAAAGACCCCTGCACTCCGCCTCCGGCCTCCTGAGTCTACCACCCAGCCTGATGGAATAAGCAGGGTGAATATTAAATCCAACCATGTGGACAGAAATACGAAAGACCAGGGAATTTCTGTGATCCAACTTCCAACCAACCAACCACTTCAAGTCCCAAGTTCCAAGTTTTGCCCACTCCCCCCCACCCCCCACCATAGTTCCACCACAAGCAAGAGGAGTAACCACACTGACCTTGAATTTTTTTACTGTGAGTGGCTGGAATCCCAGATGCTAAATCCATAATGTTAAGTTGAACCTATGGAGAAAGGGGGGAGGGAAGGCCTGGGGAAGAGGTAAATGGGGCACCCCAAGCTCAGAGGAAGTCTCCCTTCCCACCAATGCTCCATCCCTGTCACACTGCTCAAAGGTCCTTCTCACCTGGAACCCTGAGTAGACCATAGATGTGAGGCCTACCAAAACCCTGAGGGAGTGAGATGATCACTGGGCCCTAAATGTGTGTGTGTGTGTGTGTGTGTGTGTGTGTGTGTGTGTGTGTGTAGACAGCTTCTCTCCACTTGAAAATACAGATATCCCGGGGCGCCTGGGTGGCTCAGTTGGTTAAGCGGCTGCCTTCGGCTCAGGTCATGATCCTGGAGTCCCTGGATCGAGTCCCGCATCGGGCTCCCTGCTCGGTAGGGAGCCTGCTTCTCCCTCTGACCCTCCCCCCTCTCATGTGCTCTCTCTCTCTCTCTCATTCTGTCTCAAATAAATAAATAAAATCTTTAAAAAAAAAAAAAAGAAAAGAAAATACAGATATCCCAAGAATTTCCTGATTTCCTTGGGTCAAAAATAATGGTAAGATGTATAATGTACACATGAGGGTTTAGGGGATACTAATTTTCCAAACACCTTGGATGAATGAGAAGGTCCAGGACCCAAGGATTCATGGATGTGGTCACCACCACCATCTAGACAACCCCCATTTCCACAGTGCTTTTCCTTTTTCATAAAAACAACTCATTCTATGGGACTCCAGAGTTTTCATGACAGACCTCCATGAATCAGGAAAAAGTCCAGTGCTCTGATCTGGAATCTAGGGAATGTGGTTAATTAACATGGGTGTGGGTTGGGCTGTAACCCAGGAGGACTTGTTCCTGCGAAGGAAAGAGGCACCGTCCACAGGGAGGGCAGCGCGCAGCGCACTGGGTGCCTAGGGGAGCCGCTCGGAGGGAGCCTGAGCCAAAGAAGGGAGGTCAGAACCCGAAGCCACCCTCAAGCGGCGGGGAAGGGAAAGGCAGTCACGAAAGAAATACGAGAATCCTACCCCAGGTGGAAGGAGTCAGGGAGAGAATTCTGAGCTGTTTCTAGAGGCAGGTTCTCTGTTTCTCACTCGGGGTTTAAGTTCCGGTGACTTGGACCTGTGGCTTGTACCTGAATTTCCCCAAGGGCCAGATGGAGGGATTAAACTGAGAAAGCTCATCCTCGTGTTCAACCCTATCAAGGTGAAATCAGAGATTGAATTCAATTTGTGTAATTTGCTCACTTGAATCTAAACTAACCATCTCAAAGTCCTTGCACGGAAGAAGAGTGGATTTTGCCCTTTCCACGATGGGGACCTACCAAGGAGCGGGGGTTGGCTAAGGAAGAGGGCAAGGTTGGGTTATGCAGTGCCCTCAACATGTTTTTGAAATATTCCTCCTGAGTAGCAAAGGGGACAAACAGCAAATATTCTGAGAGCAGCTAGGGAGCAGGAAAGACAGCAAGGCGCACCGAGGGGCCATCTCTTCTGCAGAGGCTGGGGGACTGTGCGAGCAACGTGATGTCAGGGGCCTCCCCCGACAACCCCGTGCCTATTTTTCAGAGTCCCCTCTACCTACCTTCCCCCCATCCAGGCGCCCGTTGGGCCTGTGGGGCAGGGACTGGCATCGAACATCCTGCCAGCTTTGAGGCTGGCCCTGGTGGACGTGGGGGAAGGCGGAGGTGCAGTCAGCAGCCAGGTACTGGTACACGTGCCAAGTGTTGCCGAAGTCCGAGGAGCGCTCAATCAGCATCCCAGCGGGCATGGGCCCCTGCGGAGACACAGGTAGGGTGGGGGCCCTGCGGACTGATGGGAAGGGGTCACCAGAGACACACAATCACCAAAATAGGCTCCCAAAGATGCACAGGTGGTTCCTCTGAAAGAATCACAGTGAGGGAGGGAGAAGGGGCACGAGAGTGAGCAAGTGGGCTTCGGGGCGTCCGGGTCCAACTCTCCTGATGTACACTGACCCCATCAGATTTTCCCTAGGGGAACTGTGGAAGCCAAGAGAAAGGTGATCTACATTCTAGAAGAATGTGATCCCTAGCTCAGCCCACCACCCAGGTGGTCAGGCCAGAAAATTATCCCACAGCCACATGTCCAGGTCCTCCAAGCCTCTCTCCCCACTTCACTGGAGAGGTCTTCCTAGATGATTACCTGACTGCACGTCACTCCTGCTCCAGCTCCCTCTACGGGTCTGCATTAGCTAAAGATGAAGTGCAAGCCTCTCAGCGTGGTGCACTGTGTCCTTCCTCCCTCGGTGGGTTCACCCATGTCTCGGGGCTCTCAATGCTGTCTTTATGCTGACGGCTCCCAGCTTGGACCACTTCCTCAAACTATAGGTTCGGAAACCCAGTCTCCAAACAGATCCCACACCAGGCTCTGTCTCCAGCTTCAGTGCCCATCGCCCTCACCTCTCTAGTAGGCGCCACCTGATTTCCCTGCTGTTCACTCTCGCCTTGTTGACACCCACCGCCACACACAAAATGGACCGTGTCACCCCTCTGCGAAAAACCCTAGAATAGCTTTCCACTATTCTTTTTTTCCAGCTTTATTGAGATTGTATTGACATATATATAAGTGTAAATGTAAAATGGGACGATTTGACACATGTACATACCGCAAAATGATTATTGTAATAGTTACGCATCCATCCCCTCCCATAATTCGCATTTTTTGTGTGTGGTGGTAACATGTAAGATTTATACTCTTAACCACTTTCAGGTGTGTAATACCGTGTTCAGTACAGTCACCATGCTATACATTAGATTTCTAGAACTTACTCATCTTATAGCTGGAAGTTCATTGGCCCTTTGACCAACATCTCCCC